AAAGCAGGGTATGCTTTAGGGCGTAGCTACCTTGTGATTGACAGGTCGCTCTTAGTGAGTCCATCCAGCTCAACGCACCAAACTCAGATCAAACTGTCAAAGTTGGCAGTGCTGATCAAATATGGATCCAGATTCTGTTACTGTGTTGACTATTTCTCTCCTCAAATCATTTCACAAACACATTTTAGTGTACTGTTTATCTGGAATATGAGATTGTGTGTAATCAGACGAGCCGCTATTGTTTCCTGCTACAGACAAGTCAAAACTGCGCAGCCAATTAGAGCAGCTCAACACTTATACAGGGCCGTGCTGAAGCCTAACAGGGCCGGCAGTAACAATATTTAAAAAAATAAATATGCATTCATGTAATCGACCAGCCCACAGACCTAGAAGCCCACTGGGATTTTACTCATTTTTCCCAATGGATAGTATATGCTTGTCTACCTCTGCAGTAATTAACCAATTAACCATTAAGAGTTAGATGAAAAGTGAACCTATAGGCACCAAATGCATGGTTAGGCTGGTGAGAGAGGGCTGTGGCAGGTAATTACAATGATATCTGCATCATGAGCACATAAACAAACGTTTTATCATTAGTCTTGATGGGCTATCCCTTCACCCCTCCCCCTCCTCTCCTTCCAAATACAAGCCATTTCCTGCTTTAACTGAGAGGGTCTTTGCCTCCACTAAAAATACTCTGCTCTCTTTCTTTCTTTTTGAGAGTGGAGAGGAAAAGCAAGATGATGGGCATCATTAAGATCAGCGGTGCATACTGCGGCGTTGCGCTGCTATAGCGTTCGCATCCACCACTGTAATGTTCATTAACACTGCATAGCCTTAGTCCCCAATACACACACATACCTCTTTATTACCATGGCAGAGCAAACACAGCATTAAACAGCATTAAGAGTAAATGGATATTTTATTAATCTCATTGTCGGGTGAAGAGGAGTTTGTTAATTCGGAGCATTGACTGCTTGACCTTTTTAGTACTGTGTGTGTGTGGTGGGTGGTGTGTGTGTGTGTGTGTCAGGGGCGGGGTTGTTCAAGAATGGTGTTTTACTGAATACGTTTTTTTTATTTTGGAGTAGGAGAGAGCTGTGCAGGTCGCCATGTTCTAATTATTTCCTCCCCCTTTCCTGCTTCTCTCTTCATCCCCTGCCCTCCTTCTCCCTCCCTGTCTTCCACAGCAATTTGGCAAGATTTTAGACGTGGAGATTATTTTTAATGAGCGAGGCTCCAAGGTAAGTGCACCGTAACCATACATTCATGAACACCCTTTCTCACACACACATGATTTCTCCAGCCGAATGTATTGGTTCCTTGCCCTCCTCTTCTCTTGCAGTCCCTCCACTCCTCACTGTGTCCTCACAGCTCTCTTTTCTTCTGTCTACTAGTAATTACGGACCTATCAGTGACACTTGCCTGCAGGCAGCTTTTACACCTTACTGGCCTGCCATACATTGTGACAGACAATAAATCGCTCCCACTTATCTTTGCGCTGACAATAGGATTCACACAGTCTGCAAACGCGCACTGTCTTTCCTGGTTAGCTTTCCAACCTATAGTGGCAGGAAGTAAGAATACACTATATGTGAATATACTCCACCCAATCCAGGACAGTATTAAATCTCAC